AAAAAAAAAAAAAAAAAAAAAAAAAAAAAAAAAAAAAAAAAAAAAAAAAAAAAAAAATCTTTTCAGCATTGTTTTCAAACGATTGAAAATGTAGGACTTTACTATGAGTAGAAACAATGCTTTTCAAGGGGAGGTGAGACTCAATTAACAAATGTTCCACGTTAAGAATTGACGAGTATAAGAAGAAGAAAAATGATCATAATGATAAAAGAAGAAGAACAAAAAAGGCTCTGAACATACCTCATCCCTTCCATAGTTGTCACCACTGTGTGGATCAAAGAGAACATCACCGGTGGCCAACTCGAAACAAATGCAAGCAAATGACCACATATCTGCTGGAGTCGAATATTTAGATCCAAGAATAACCTCGGGACACCTATACTGCCGTGTCTGAATATCATTAGTAAATTGCTTATATGTCCAGCATGCATTCCCAAAATCAACCAGCTTGCACTTAAGATCAGCAGCTGCTAGCAGTCTCTTCCTTGTTTCATGGCTCCTTCTCCTCTGATCTTTCTTCCCTTGGCTAGCATCCTTTAAATCATCAGCATTTGTTATACCGCCATCATTTACAGAACCATCTTTACATACTTTGGCTGTACCCCCATTTTGTTTAACTCCATTATCAAAATCTCCTATGCTAGCTCTCGTAGAGTCTTCTTCATTTATATCTTCTTCAATAGGTTCCTCCGCCGAACGCCCCTGTGCTGCCTTCTTAGCTTTTTTCCTTATCTTCTTTTTCTGGTTCTTGGTAAGATCCCCGCCGTAGCTCTTAACATCCTTTAAAGCATCAGAACTAGTCGAAGTTTTATTCTTGTTGTTTGGAAGGATGAGAGGATTGCCTGATTTTCGAGGATCTTTAGATGGATCAATCATAGATGAAAGCAATACATTCTCTGGCTTCAAATCAGTATGTATAATTGAAAGTTTGCTGTGCAAGTAATCTAATCCCACTAAAATATGAAAGCAAATTTCCTTCACCATGTGGAGATGAATCCCTCTGTAATCGGCATATTTAATAAGGGTCAATAAGTTGTCCCCTAGGTACTCAAAAACCATACAAACATGCAGCCCATTTGGGCCAGAATGCTTAAAATGATCCAAAAGCTTCACAACACACTTCTTGTCTTCTATATCTCCCTCTGCTATCTGCTTAAGAATCTTAATCTCATCCAGCGCAGCTTCAGTGTAATGCTGAGCACTCTTTTGAATTTTCAAAGCTACATAACGCTACAAACAATGAATACAAAAAAACTGAGTAATGAATACAAATATCACATGTTTGGCTTGGCCTTCAGCATATAATAACCAAACTGTGTAAATAACAATTGAATCAGCTGTAAACAGAGCACCTCGCAAAGGAAAATTAGTGAAACAAAAGAAAATCGATGTAAAATTAGCAAGAGCTCAACAAATGAAGCACAACAGCACCAACAAAATTCATTTCAAAACTCAACTCTGAATCTTCAAAACAAACCTCCATGTGATGAGGACCAATCCTGCTCCTTTCCATAAGAAGGAAGGCAGGGATATAATCCGTTCCCGTACGTTACTTATTGGGAAACAACACAGCAGAATTTTCATTTTAAACTCATCTTCTAGTATTCAACTCCAAAAATCCTACCAACTCTTTTCAATACACAAGGAAAAATGGCTTTCAGTTCCTAGGCAGTTCTCCAATGTGCATTCAACATTCTTTTCATAGAGTCAGAGTGAACTGCCCTCAACTAAAAGGTGAGAGGTTTAAATCCCCACCCAAACGTTGTTAAAATAAACAAAAAAATCTCTCCTTAAGGTCGCTTTCCTTCCAATTCCTCACTCGTGACTGAGAAAAATAAAAACAAGAACTCCAAATTGCGAAAAACCCATACCGATTTCTGTGTGTCCCATGCCAACCACACAGTGGAAAAATGACCCCAGCCGAGCTTGCTTTGAACAACATAGCACCCATTCTTAAAAGTATCCCCAACACGAACCGCATGATATCCTCCTCGCCTATAATCTTCAGTCCCTTCATCCTCCGATTTGTAATCACTTTCGTCGCTCCGATCGCCGTTCCGAGCCTCCGCCATTAACGAAACAAATGAAGATTAAAATATATATATGATAAACAAATTGTGGGAGATCAAACAAACACTATCCTCGGCAAAAGAAGGATATTTCCGAGGTAAATCTGAGGGAGAAGCTGAGCTAGGGTTTAGGTCGTGTTGTCGCGACAACCGCGATTAGGGTTTATTCGGTGCGTACCTTCTGCCGGGAAAGAGGAAAACATAGAAATTAATAAGAAGAGAGTAACAGATGATTGGATTGGACTGTCGTGAATAAAAGTGTACGACTCGGGTTTGTTTATCATTGCACCAATATTTGTAGCGTATAATTTAATCAGTTTCATTAATTCCTTTAATTTATTTATCCATTATTATCGAACAGTTTCAACTCTCATAATTATATGGTATATTATCATTATCGTATCGCTATCATTATTTTAATATTAATCATTTAATCATTTAAATACGTAGATAAATGAGTCATTAGGATATTGGGCTTTCTAAATAAATTATTAAATATTTCATATCCAATAAATAAAAATATAAAACATAAAACTCACCAATATCTCCCACTTTTACACGTCATAAATGATAATATATTTGATCGCAAAAAATCCCACTGAATTTTAAATTCTGTGGTAAAATAAAAAAAATAAAAAATAAAAATCTTTTTTCCGTTTATTTTGTTGTCCACGTCCCTTAAATGGGCCGGTCACTTATTATACGAGTTGGGCCGGCCCATTTAGCAGGCTAACCAACCTATTTATCGTTATTATTGTTATTTTTTATTTTAAATTACAATTTTTCTTTTCTTTTTTTTTTTTATATTGATTCTTAAGAAAAATTGGTTGCTTTCCCATTCTAACCGTCCATTATTGGAAGCTACGAAACGTCGTCGTTGCTTCACCTCAAAACCAGCTTACTTAGGTCGATTTTGATTTTTTATTTTGTCGTTATTGTTAGTTTTATCTATTAATTCCAAAATATATATATATATATATATATATATATATATATATATATATATATCTTTGACCTCAAAATAGCGTGTTTTAATGTTTTTATTATTATTTATTCCACGTCATTAACAAGTGAGTTGTAAGCTGTGACCTCAAATTATTTAGCTTGCATTAAAATAATGGTAGACGAAATTAATTAAATAAAAAGTTTGAAAATTCCATACACTGTTTCAATTTTAAACCTAACGCATGGAAAGACATGGGATATTTCGCAGTGGTTACTTTAATTCATTATTATTATTCTATTAAAGTTGGTGCACCTATCAATATTCAAAACCATGTGTATGAAAAACAATATATATATATATATATATATATAAACTCAATATTTAATAAATTTATCGAAAATAAATAAAATATATTATTGAGAGTGGGGCCCACATGTGTGGGAATTGAAGCCGACCAAAAAAAAAGTAAAAAAGTAAAATTTGAAATGATTTAGCATTGGGTTTTGCCAAAGTAAACTGCAACTTTTCAGATTTTACCATATAATAAAAATATTATTTCCATCATTTATTTATTTCACTAAACTAATTATTTATTTTCCAATAAGAAAAATATTAATTTAAATTATAGTATATGGTCTCCCTGTCTTTAACAATCCCATATATTTTATATTATGTTAACTTTTAAATTTTCAATTTTCAATTTTCAAAATTCTTCGTTTTAGTTAATTTATTAAAAAGAATTATTTATTTTTAAAAGTATTTATAAATCTAATTTTCAACGCAATGATTATTAAACAATATATAAGTAGTAAAGTTAGTCTTCAAATCATTAATAAAAATATTAATATATTTTATTGGCCAATTTCATTTTCATCTCTCATATGATTTTTTCAGTTTTCTATATTTATTACTAACATGGTACGGTATAGTTATGCCCTAAACTTAGTCATATCAATAGAATTCTTAAATATCGAACAAAGTATTGTAAGTCTCGAAAGTGTAGTCAAAAGTGACTAAAAGTGTCGAACAAATAGTGTACTTTGTTTGAGGGCTCTAGAGAAAGGAGGAAGGCTATTCGAGAGCTCCATAAGCCTCAAGGGAGGCTTATGGTGTACTTTGTTCGAGTGGAGGATTGTTGAGAATTATTGGGAGTGAATCCCACATTCGTTAATTTAGGAAATGACCATGAGTTTATAAGTAAATTAATACATCTCTATTGGTATGAGGTCTTTTGGAGAAAATCAAAGCAAAGTCATGGGAACTTATTCTCAAAGTGGACAATATCATACTATTGTAAAGATCCGTGATTCCTAACACCAACCAAATTTAACTCGACTCAATTAGCTATAAATAAATTTTAATTAATTATTTAAAGTCATAACTTAGCAACTAAGAAACAACAACTTGGACCTACCCCTTTGAAGGGCCCACCTCACTCTTACCTTTTTTTCTCCTTTTATCCGAACGTCTCATTCTCCTCTCTTTTGTGGTTATTTTTGTCAACAAAAATTAAAAACTAAATATTAATAAAATATTAAACATTTTCAACCGTGCAGCGTCGTAATTTTGACACGCTTATGACCATCTTTGAAGGTGACTCAATTCCCATATTAAAATTTTTGTTATATTTTGTGGCTTCATCGGACCTTAAGCGAGATTTATCTTTGGTAGTGCAGAATCCAATACACAACCAACTTATCTCTACATCAGACCAAGTCATTCGATTCAACCTTTCTTCTGCTCAAGGTCAAAGCCTCTCAATGGGACGTGTTGGATGATGAAAGTCCCACATCGACTAATTTAGGGAATGATCATGGGTTTATAAGTGAGGAATACTAACCCCATTCGTATGAGACCTTTTGGGAAGCCCAAAGCAAAGTCATGACGTCATTGAATTAGTTCCATTAAAAAAGAATTAAATATTTTATATTACAAAAAATAAAAACTTAGAACGCACCGTTTGAATGAGTCTTTGTTCTTTTTGGAGAGAATTGGTGTTAAAGGAAATAAAAATATAATTTGTGGGAGGAAAAAAAGAAAAAAGAAAAAGAATATGACAATCATGTGATAAAAATAAAGTTCCAAATACGACAGCGTTTAAGAATAAAATGGGGAAATAAAAATAGATTCGTATTTTTGTCGATAATACACTTTATGTGTCCCTATGCTGTAATCATTTTCATATTAATAATAAATCTTAATTAATTAGTTAATTAATTAAGTTTTATTTATTGTTTTAAAACAAATTAAGGGAGAGAGGGTGGAGAGAGGGAGGGTGGAAAGGGAATGATAAATCGGTTACTTTGTGACAGAGCATCGGTAGCGTAATCTCAATTTGCTCAGTTCACCGAAACTTCTCTGTCTGCTCCATTCTTTCGGACCTTTCATTTCTCTCTCTACACTGTTCAGCATTCCTTCTTTTTTTTTAGAATGAACATCGGCAACAATCCACACCTCGGTTATATCCCCCTTGTTATCTTCGTCCTTGTCTTCTGATGTTTGTCTTTCTTCTTTGATTTGAGTATTTAATCGCTTTGTTTGGTGGTTATTATCCAATTTTGAAGACGAGGGATTGAAGAATGGCTGCGATTGTTCGTACTGGAGTGTCGGTTGTTGTCGCGGTGATGATGATTCAGGTGGCGACTGTTTTGTGTGGGTTTCCGGCTAAGCTGACGTTAGAGAGGGCTTTTCCGACGAATCATGGCGTCGAATTGGCTCAACTCCGTGGCCGGGACCGGATTAGACATGGTAGAATACTGCAGTCTTCTGGTGGTGTTATTGATTTTCCTGTGGCTGGAACCTACGACCCGTTTCTCGTTGGGTAAGGAAAGGGAACGAATCTTTTATTTCAATTTCTGCTTTTATCTTTCTTTTGGAATTTCAATTCAGTTTTCGTATTCTGAGTCTTTGACAAGATGTTCTGATTTTAGGAACATATTTGGGGGTTTTGTCCTGATTGAGACTTTTGTGGTTGAGTTCTGAACCTCTGGTTTTTTTTTCCCCCCAGAAATGCATTATTCTTCTGTTATTTTGTGCTCTCTTTCTCCCAATTGATAGTTTTGTTCATGAATTGATCTTTCAATATATTGGGTCCTTCTGTTTCTTGATGCATTAATTACCTTTGTTGATCATAATATTTTGGTTTGCCCAAAATTCGTGGTTCTTTTACAGGCTTTATTACACTAAAGTTCAACTAGGCAATCCCCCAAAGGATTTCTTTGTGCAGATCGATACTGGAAGTGATGTTTTGTGGGTTAGCTGTAACTCTTGCAGTGGCTGCCCAGAAACTAGTGGGCTACAGGTGATTTTGTGTTGCCATAAGTTTAAATTCCGTCTTAAACTGGCGGCATTGTCTCTTAAACCCTAACCATTTTGCCGTAACAATTTTTCAATTCAGTTGTTTTTTGTTTTCCTCACAGATTCAGCTCAATTTCTTTGACCCTGGTAGCTCATCAACAGCTTCTTTGGTCTCTTGTTCAGACCAAATATGTGCTGTTGGAGTTCAATCCTCCGACTCAGCCTGTTTGGGCCAGAGCAATCAATGTGCTTATGTCTTCCAATACGGTGATGGAAGTGGAACTTCGGGCTATTATGTTATGGACATGATACATCTTGATATAGTAGTTGATAGTGCCATGACTACAAATTCTTCAGCTTCAGTTATGTTTGGGTGAGTTTATGCTTCATTCCGAAACCAGCTCTCATAATCTTATGATTCTGTACCTTTGTTCAACTCTTTTCGTTGGTGGATTGTCATTTATTAAACAGGTGTAGCACATCACAGACTGGAGACTTGACTAAGTCAGATAGAGCAATTGATGGGATCTTCGGGTTCGGGCAACAGGACTTGTCTGTGATATCACAACTGTCTTCACGAGGATTAGCGCCGAAAGTGTTCTCCCACTGCTTGAAAGGGGATGATAGTGGTGGGGGAATATTGGTCCTCGGTGAGATTGTCGAGCCAAATGTTGTTTATACGCCTCTAGTACCATCACAGTACGTTTTCGTTTTCCCTGATCCATTTTCATTATCTTTGTCTAGGATGTCTCTTATTAACGTAGTTACCTATAATTAAAATGTTACAACAGCAAGCATTGTAAACTTATCTGAGTTTTTGGAGTTTTTGGATCAAATAATGTCTGAAAGCATATGGTTTTTAATTGTTCTTGTTGGCATCAACTTTCAGGCCCCATTATAACTTGAATCTGCAGAGCATCTCTGTTAATGGTCGAGTATTACCTATCAACCCAGCTGTCTTTGCAACATCAAATAGCCAAGGAACCATAATTGACTCCGGCACTACTTTGGCATACCTTGCTGAGGAAGCTTACGACACTTTTGTTGCTGCTGTAAGTTTCACTTTCAGATGTTTCTTATTGTTCAAATGACCAAAGCACCATTATGACGCTTCATTATTCATTATCATTGTTCACACTGTTATATTCGATATTTTCCTTTATAGGAAGGCTGAAGTAGATTCAATCTTGGAATATGGTCTGTATTTTCTAATGCATGCCGAATGATTATGGTTTTTATTTCTTTCCTTCTATTTTTTAACACAGATCACGAACACAGTTTCACAATCGACACAGTCTATTGTTCTCAGGGGAAATCAGTGCTATATGACCTCCTCCAGGTTGGTTTAATTTACAAACTAGATTTCCGTTAGAGGTTATTGTTTACTGCAACGAGGAAACTGACTCTTTATTTTTTGTCTTTCGGTGTAATCTCGTAGTATCTCTGATATATTTCCCCTAGTAAGCTTAAACTTTGCCGGTGGTGCATCATTGGTATTGAGACCCCAAGACTACCTGATTCAACAAAGCTCTGTTGTAAGCTTACAGTCTTCCCTTCATTGCCTGGACATTTACAACTATGATATGCCATATATTTTTAAAGCAGACATAAACCTGTTTTTCCCGCATCAGATTTAAGGAGCGTTATATTGAATCACTTTTAGATAAATGTAGTTTTGTTGCTATAAGCCTTTAACTTATATCCTCGTTCGTAATCGAGTTTGACGAAGTTTTTCAATGCAGAGTGGTACTACTGTTTGGTGCGTTGGTTTCCAGAAAATTCCGGGTCAAGGGATTACAATTTTAGGGGGTAAGTTCCATGATATTATACTTTTTGTTTATCTTTTATCCATTTTCTAACCTGAAAATACTGATATTGTATCTTCCTCTCTCTTTTTGGCAGACCTTGTTCTGAAAGACAAAATCTTTATTTATGATTTGGCTAATCAACGAATTGGATGGGCTAACTATGACTGTGAGTTTCTGTCCACAACTCTCTGCGAGTCGATCTCGGACACACATAATGAAATAGATTCTAAACACAAGTTTTTCAACACTAGTACCCAACCATACACAAAACACACACACTGGTCATCTGTACTTTGGTTTTTGAAAAGGGTTTTGTACATGAAATAGAATTTTTAACCATGTGTTTATATGAGCTTCATCCAACTTGCTACACAAAGATCATGGTTCATTAATTTTACTACAGTAGATCACAAATAGCTGAACAGAAATTAAAAGAACTTATATTCTTATAAATAGTTTTGAGATTCATCGAACGGTAAGTTTCTAATATGTTTTTCTCCGTATTCAGGTTCGACGTCGGTAAATGTTTCTACAGCTACCAAGACTGGAAAGAGTGAATTTGTGAACGCAGGGCAGCTCAGTGACAGTGGCTCTGTGCAGAATCAGCCTAACAGAGTTATTTTACTAAGCATTCTTGTATTGTTTGTTAAATTATCCATTTTCTCCGGCTTCCTTCACTTATAGCGTCTAGAGAAAAAAGATTAGATTTGTCATTCTTTCGCTGTATAATATGTTCAGGTGCCAACATATAGTTATAATAGCCATTGAGCCGACGTAGGTCCACTCATAGTCTCCATTTCAATCCTTCCTTTTCCCCCTTGAATTAACATTATACTCTCCACTAAAATTGGTCTCAGCTGCGTTGTAAATCTCTTCATATGAACTAGTCGGTTCTATAGAAGTTCAATTTATAAGAGATTATACTCATTGTTCTGAATCTCCTTGTGTGTTGTAAAGTTGTAAGACCAATTATTGGTCGGCAAATATTTTAATCACATGAAATTCAACTTTTGGTATTTAAAATTGAATCTAGTTTTATTTGATATTTAAAGTTCAACATTGGCCTTGGAGGTTTGAATTTGATTTATATGTCCCTAAAAATAAAAATTAAAAATTAAGTTAATTATGGTGTATTTTATTTTAGAATGACATTAAAATCTCCATGAAAGTTATGAGAAGCCTAAAGGAATCATGGTGACAAGACTCCTACTCAATAGCCAGACCAACCCATGGCAAAGATTTTATTGACAGACAAATTGAAGAGACATAACATTAATGTGCCTTCTCCTTAAAAAGTGCAAAAGCCCTATCGTGTAAAAATATCATTATAGCGTCTTTTGAAATCTATAGAAGAAAAAAAATTAAAGAATATTCACGAAGAAGACTCACTTATACAAAGATCTACGACAATATAGTTTACTATAGAATATATTGATGTAAATTATTCAATACTTTCGGTTTCTATAGTCACACCTCCTTCCATTGGGAATTGAGATGGTCTTTCGTAAGCGTAAATTTCTAAAAAAAAAAAAATTAGAACACCACACGGGATGGAGAAGAGGAAACAATGGTAAACAAGCTAGGTCAAAGAGAGAAAAAAAAATGCAATAGGGCAATTATACCTAATAATTTATTAGGTGTTCACGAAAATAAACCAACACGTGAAATTACAAACAAAACCTTGGAAATAAAATGAGCATACATTATATAACAAAAAGAGTCGTCATCTTACATTTGACAACTTGACTTGAACATATATAACAGTTGCTTTCTAGAAATTAACTCACAAAATCTTTCCTTGGCGTTAATTCACACCATTTGAAAATCAGATCATCTTTATTGATAAACACCCATTCCAGTAATCATCTGCTAATTTTTCTTGCTGCATCGTCAGAAAATAGACTTCCGACCCCAAATCATTTTATGGAGGATAAGTTCTAAAGAACATTGAATAGATAAAGTTAAATTTTTTATTTTAAGTAAATATAAACTCTGAGAAATTGAGAAAAATCTTTCCATGTTTGCCAAAAGATAAATTGTCACTCACTTATTTCTCTTCCAAAAGAAGTGACGCGCATGAAAGAAGAGATGACACCTCCTCTTGAGTTGCCAATCCAAACCCTTGCCATCTTATTCTACCAAATTTGTCAAGCAGAAATATATACCTAAGAAGCAAAAAAAAAAAAGTTCACGAAGAATATTTGTATAACTTTTACTTTATTGATTTATCTAAGGAAAACGGAAAGGAAAGGCAAGGAAATGAAATAAACTCATACCCAGAGAGAAGATTTAGTATTTTGAGCTCCTTTCTGAAGTAATAATGGTCGCCAAACGAGTATACAATCTTCCTTTGAAGTGAATCAATCTGTGCATTGTCACTGGATTTCCTCATCAGCCGAAGAAGCACTTTCTTAATTGGATTCCGACATAACAACCACGAGTCTATAAATGAAACCTTGCAAGTGAAAATTCTAAATGCTGTTAACAGAACCATAACATTACGAATTCAGTTTCTACACACATAGAACAGCATCTGCATTCTGATTAGAATGCCTAAGTTTCTAAATTTTTAAATTGCAACAGAAAATGGTCATTACGTATGGTTTGAGGAATGATAAACAAAATCAACCGCTGGACCAAATATAATTAGTTATGGAATTACGTTACCTCGTATAACTGGATATTCTTTGAACTCGAAAAGGCATCAAGAAAAGGGGTACTCCAAGAATTAATCATGGCCTGCAAAGGTAAAAGGAAGATATGACGATGATACCAACATACATCTTTTCTTGATCAATTTAATGATTTGCAAGCATGCCTGTCTAACTCAATTGCTCCTTCAAAGGGGGTGAATGGAAAGCAAGGTATTGTTTGGACGTACTTCCAAGGGAAAAGTTCTTTTAAACAGATTTATAATGGGCTAAAAGAGAATACTTCATTGTTTAAAGACTATTGTGCTGCATAGCCTTTATTTTATTTTATTTTATTTATTATTCTAAAGAATACTTGAAGACTCTTCTTAAATCAAAGACTGTTTGAGAACTCAGCTAAAACAACATTCAAAGTTTTGACTCTCTAAATAAGTTAACAGTAAAGAACATATATCAGTCCTAAAAGAGCTGAGAACTTTTTAATACCATTCCCAAACAGCATCCAAATTTGAATATGAAGTTTGCTAGCTTATTTTAGTGCATTTAAGTAGTTTATTTCAGAACCATTTTATTTGAAGTTCTGAAACTCTAACGCTATTAGACAAAGAAAAGGGGCAATACCACTTCTTAACAGTGAGACAACGTTTCTCCTTGCAAAATAAAGTAAAAGAAGGCCATTGACTCATTAAAAACGTAACATCCGACCACTTGGATTGACACTGATCAATGCAATGAAAAAAGCTTTAATTCCAACTAATATCTTTAAAGCCACCGATCCATGTTGCTAGCCACTAATCCAGAATAAAGTATAGCTTATCCCAAAAGATCACAGAGATACGTAGGCCATTTGGTTTAAAAGTTTTCAGGATTCTTCCGGACATGACAAAGGATCACAGTGTGTATATAATTGGACTTTATACATTTTCCAGATAACTGAAAATTCAAATTTCTTGTAGAGAAATAAAAATTGGGAATGGAAAAGGACACTTCAAAATCCTAATTAATGATATAATATTGTCATCATACTAAAGATTACTATAAACTTTTCCATGTTGTATTCATGTCAACCAACACAACCGATGATAACAAAACCAAAATGTACCTGGGAGCTTGCTCTGAAAGAAAGACACAGTAATGTGGCCACAGGCAAGGCTGATGCCGAATTATTGCCTTCGACCTCATTAGCATCGAATTTAATGGGTAGCTTCAACGATTTACCATCAGAATAGCTCACTTCAAACTCGGGAAATTTTACAGCAGCCATAGCCGGAATCAGAATCTTGTTAGCTGCTGCAATCTTCAAACTCGGCTTTAATTAATTAAAATTCGAGAAAAAAACCTTACACTACCATTTAAAATTTAACTCGACTTGTCATCAAAACTAATATATTACCTTTCCACCATGTTGCTTAAGCTCTGCAATATCAGCAAAGTATCCTCTGTTTATTTCATCTGCACTGTCACAATTTAAATCAACAAAGCTTCTTGATAATTTTTGGTGTCAGTTAATCAATTGCCTACAGCTTTGTAATGCAACTTACAGTCGAGCGCGCTCTTTCTCAATGGCTGTTTTGTTTCCAAGCTGCAAACATCAGGAAAAAAAAATCATAATACGACACACATATTGCCCCTTTACTTATTCGAATAACTGCATCAAGAAGAATCTAAAACATAGAACAGGCATGAACGAGTATTTTCAACCAGTTCTAAGAAACGGAACTAAGCAATCATTTAACAAATTCACGTCAGATGTTCTCGGTCATGTACAATTATCTTTCAACAACAAAAAGAGTAAAATTCTTCTTCGAAAGAGCAACAAAAGAAAAAAAAGTCAAAATATCCAACATTTTTGTTAATTAAATTTCGTTTCATATTCTCAAAACCTAATGGAAGCTAAGAAAAGTAATCAAGGTACCTGATAAATGTTGAGGAAGCGATTGGAAGTCAGCTGAGCTAAGTGCTGCGAAGGAAAAACAAGGAATTTTTCCTGGTAACCAGAGAGCTGCATTCTTAAAGAAGCTCGAATCGAGCAAGCATGAGGAACTAATCGCTTCAACCCAAACATGTCCGTGATCGATTCGGCTTCTCTCACGGTATCGTCTTCACACTCTCCGTTGATTCTCTGCTGAACCCTAATCGGAAAACTGTACGGTCAATCTCTGCAAACCGCGGGAACGGACTGCTCCTGAATTAACACCGGTGGGATCGGTATTGGTTCGCAATAACCGGACCGTTATCTGGGCCTGGCCCAACATAGCTCTTTTAGTAAGGCCTGCTGGCCCATTTGTGAATTCTACGTAAATATATTATCATCCATCAAGACATAGAGGTTCGAATCCTTCCAATCTCATATATTATCAAACTAAAAAGAAATAAAAATTATAATTTTGTTGACCGAGAGTATATATATAGTTGTAATAAGTTCACTCCGTCCCGAAAGACATAAATATTTTATAATAAGGCAAAATATATGTATATAATATATAAAACTCGTTTTAACTGTGAGCCTAGAGGGCTTTGAGTTTCGAGCACGTCGGATGAACCTAATCTAGCCTTTAACATGTTTTAGAGCTTGAGATCATACGTCACAAGTCAAAATAGACAAGGTTCATTAACGATGGGCTTGAATTCATTGCATATCATAACACCAGAACTAAAGTAAGTATATGAAGAAGGAGAACAGAACAATCGAAGACAGCACAGTGGGCTTGTCATCCCGTTCAGCCGTTATTTGAGTGCAGAAGAAAATAGTAAAGCACAGCACAAGAGAGGCAACAACTTTGGGGCACTCAGGCGTATGATTTATGAAATGAGAGAGATGCCAGCGGGGAGTAGATTATCGGCCAAGAACTTGTTTGCAGCTTCTGATGGGTGGAATCCATCCCAGAACACGTATTCAGATGCGTTGGCACATGTCCCTACGGATTCTTTGTTGCATAGGATTGATGTCTCAAGCAAGCCTGTGCCACAGCAAGCCTTCCTTGCCTCCAAGAAACCTACACAAAATTTTATGCAGGAGTTAATGACATGTCCTCCTCGGCCCTCATCGTCAAATATTGTTTGTTTTGGCCCGTTATGTATAGCTGTCAGCCTCACGATTGTAAAACACGTCTACTAGAGAGAGATTTTCACACATTTATAAGGAATGTTTTGTTTCTATCTCCAATCGATGTGGGATCTCACAATCTACCTCTTTTGGGGGCCAACATCCTCGTTAGCACACTGCTCGATGTCTGGCTCTAATACCATTTGTAACAATCTAGTTGTCTGCTTTAACCCATTACGTATCGCCGTCAGCCTCACGATTGTGAAACACGTCTACTAGGGAGAGGTTTCCACACATTTATAAGAAATGTTTTGTTCCCCTCTCCAACCGATGTGGGATCTCACAATCCACCTCCTTTGGGGGCCAACATCCTCGCACACCGCTCGATGTCAGGCTCTAATACCATTTGACAGTCTAGTAGATATTGTCCGCTTTGGTCCATTACATATTGTCGTCACCTCACGATTGTAAAATACGTCTACTAGGAAGAGGTTTCCACACATTTATAAGGAATGTTTTGTTCCCCTCTCCAACCGATGTGGGATCTCACAATTCACCTCCCTTGGAGGCTCTCGTTGGCACACCAATAGATGTCTGGCTCTAATACTATTTATAACAGTTTAAGCCCACCGTTAGCAGATATTGTCTGCTTTGTCCCATTACGTATCGCCGTTAGCCTCACAATCTTAAAATATGTCTACTACGGAGAGATTTTCACACTTTTATAAAGAATGTTTTGTTCCCCTGTCCAACCAATGTGGGATCTCACAATTCACCCAATTGAAGGCTAGTGTCTTCGCTGACACACAGTTCGATGTATGGATCTAATACCATTTGTAACAGTCCAAGTCCGTCGCTGGCAAATATTGTCTTCTTTGGCCCGTTACACATCGTCATTAGTCTCACGATTTTAAAACACGTCTACTGGGAAGAAGTTTAATACTCGTATAACGAATGTTTTCCTCTCTTCAACCAATATGGTATCTTACCCATACCTTCTCCTTCATTTGAGATATTGTATGAGAAATTAGACTAAATGGCATACCGTTTTCAGCAGGCTTTGTGACAAGTTCATAGAGAGGCTTGTAAGTGTCCAAGACAACCAAATTGAGGCCAGGAAGGTTGGCATGCAAGCTCTGAGACGTGGCATTGAGTTTGCTATTGAATGAAACTGCATCATTGTTTAGCTTACCCACACACTCATTGCTGTCAGATCCAAAGATTGTTATGGCTGTCGGAAGACATCCAAGCGGTGGTAATGTTGTTACTCCAATCCTCCGTGCTCCCAATGCATAAAGATTCTAAAAACATAAGTTTTGTTATATAATATTGTATGGCCGAACACACCTTGTACCTATTATCCTCTTTAAATTTTCTTTTTTGAGTTTTTTCTTAAAGAACGTGTTTACTTGGGAGAGGTTTCCATACTTTTATAAAAAATGCTTCGTTCTCCTCTCCAACCAATATGGGATCTCACAATCCACCCTTTTGGGATCAACATCCTCGCTGGCACATTGGCCAGTGACTAGTTCTAATACCATTTGTAATCGTCCAAACACCACTAGCAGACATTATCTCTTTAGACTCTCTCTAAATTATTAGTGTGTTTGAAGAGGAAGGGCAAAACCTGAATGAAGTTTATGTAGGAGGTGATGAGAATGTCAGTGAACTGAGTAACAGTATATTTCTTGTAAACTAGAGGATTCACGTAATAGTTCTGCAGAAAGTCATTGCTCCCCGCACTGACAAGGTAAATAGCACCAGATATGATAGCTGAAGCGTTGGGTTTTCCAGCAAATTCTGCTACTTTGTTCTGATACTCCTTGTAGTATTCCAGCTGCTCTGTTAGGGAAAGAGCATTCTACAATACCACAAGGCAAACATGTTATTAATATAGGAGCGGTGTTCAAGATCGATATTGTAATAGTTCAAGTCCACCGCTAGTAAATATTGTCTTTTTTAGACTTTCCTTTTCTGACTTCCCCTCAAGGTTCACATCGATTGGAGAAGGGAACGAGTGTCAGCGAGGACGCTGGCCCCGAACCAAACATTTTTTCTAAAGGTGTAGAAACCTCTCCCTAACCTAACAAATGTGTCTTGAAGGTAAACCCGATAAAAAAAGTTTAAATAAGACAATATCTGTTAGCAGTGAATTTAGGCGGTTACAAACAAACTTTTGATTTATGGTACTATTACGTATAGGTGTGCTGTTGTGTCGATGTATCCAGAAGCAGCTGAGGCAAAGCTTGTTCCAATCAGGAGGTTCTTTCCTCCTGCTTCACCGAGGTAAGCTTGTGGGTAAGATGTAAATCCCAAGTACTCAGCTGTTCACAAGTCAATAAAAGAACTTAGTCCAAGTCCATTGTTAGCCGATGTTATCCTCTTTAAATTTTTGTTCAAAGTTTTTAAAACGTGTCTGTTAGAGATAAGTTTTCACACCCTTATAAAGAAGATTTATTCTTCTCCCAAACCAGTGTAGGATCTCACAATTCACCTCCTTAAAGACCCAGCGTTCTCTTCAAGGGCTTTCCATGATGCGTTTTAAAACTTTGAGAGAAAGTTTTAAAGGAAAAGCCCAAAGAGACGATATCCGTTAGTGGTGAGTTTGGACCGTTCCAAGTAGTATCAGAGTCAAATACCGACCAGTGTGTGAGATCCTACATTGGTTAAAGAGGAGAACCATACATTTTTTATAAGGGTATGAAAACCTGTTTGTACTAGACGTGTTTTAAAACCACGAAGGCCTATAAGACGGTTATATAAACAGAAGTAAAATAAAATGAAATGAGGTTCTAAAATTGAAAGCACCAGTGAAGTCTGAGGCAAGTTTTCCATTGCAGAACCGTCCGGTGGGGTTGTGAGTAACAAAATCCCTCCCATAAGGGGGAAAATTTGCTTTCATGAGGGTTTTGAGGTGATTGTTGATGCCCACATCAAGAACAGAGTCCCCAAATGTGAACATTGCAGGAACCAGTGGCTGCCCATTTGCCAGAGATTGGCTCACAGGCGCAAGGAGAAGGAAGAAAATGGCTAAACAAGTCCTATCCATGAGTGTCCAGTGAGGTTGCTTGAAAAACAATAGCTGAGAACAGAGATTTAAATGGTTTGTAAAGTTCATACGCTCAAGAAATCTGATCATTTACAGCTTGGTATGTACCAACATTATTTTATAATCCATATTTGAAGGTTTATAAGGTTTCCAAGACATTCACCTTCACAAAATGTTTGGAATTCGCCTCAGGATATTGATGCCCAAAGATATCATGTTTGACCTTTGGATTTCGTATTGCGCACCCTTATTTGCTTTCCAACTGCTCTGCTATGTCACCCTCGTGTTATATATTTAAAAACAACGACGTTCGAAAGTTCTATAGTGTACTTTGTTCGAAGAAAAAATTGTTGAGAGAGAAGTCCCACGTCATATAATTAAAAAGAATATCATGATTGTATAAATAAAAAATACTATCTCTCACTCGTAAGATACCTTGAAAATCAAAAGTAAAACTATGCGAGTTTATGCTTAAAGTGGATAATATCACACCATTATGAAGGGTCGTGGTTACTAACACTAAAATAAGCTTTTTTTTTTTTTTTTTTTTTTTTTAAAGTCTTCTATAAGAAGGGTCGAAGGTAGCTTTCTTACATGCCTAATAAGTAAGAAATATGGTCAGTGATACCTTCGAACCAGTAAGTTTTCCTTCTTCGACCTAAACATAGTTCACAACCAAATCTAACTCGAAGTCCGTTGGTATTTTCTTTTTTTAACTGTTTAAAAAAATCATATTTTAATAACCATGCATGTTACAATAATAACTAAAATTTCATAAAATTCAATATCATTCATCTCCGAGATACAATTTTTACTAACATCAGTTACAAAAGTAAAATATTATTAATATTTAGGTTGAATTGTAACCCTATTTTCGAAATCTTGACAAAAAAACATGTCAATTTATGCAAATCGACTGAATTTTTTGTTTCCCAAAAGTTCAACCCAAACTAAACAATTTTTTTTTTTAACCAAACTCCACTTTTATAATTAGGGTTGGATTGTTCGGGTTAGTCAAATTTTCAAGTCTTATAAACACTAATACTCATTGTTGTCTTCTTTTATGCTCTCATGCAATAGAAGCCCCTAATCCCTCCGTAAGTGCCTCTATTTATACCCAATCTAATCCTATTTTATTTTTAAGATTGTTATAAAAATTAAAAATAATTTATATTTGTAATAGAGATAACATGCGGTTTAACTAATAAAAAATTAATATTTAAATTTTATAAACAAGGTAATATATACAATTTTTTAGAATAATTAAAAAAAAATATAAACGATAATAAATTTTATTTGGGTAATTTAAGTCACAAATAAACCACCAAAATAGATTAAAACTAAATATTTGAGATCACAACCACAATAATAAAATAAAATTCAAAATAGAATTTATGGCATGAAAATTATAGTATTGGAAAAAGGAAAAGGCATTGGAAAAGAACAACCAGCCACCACACAGGAAAAAAGAATTATTATTTATTGGGTATGTGATAGCCGACATTAGGCGCGTGCTAATAACTTCCTAACGCGCTCTTTGGGAGCGTGGCTCAAAGTCTGCATTTCTTAGCTGTCTGTCGGTGTACAGAGCGATTGGATCCTAAGCGATGACAGGGCAAGCTACTAAGCTAGTGCTGGCAGTGGACCCCACTTTTTAAACTTTTTTTTTTTTTTACAAATTTAACAGTTATTTAAATATATCTATAAATTATAGAAGAATTGTAAATTTTGAAAGTACATAGCTAAATCAATATTAGTTCTTACTTAATAATTTAAAATAAAATTAAAATAAAATTAAAATAAAATTTATTAAAAATTTAATCCTAAAATATATATGAAAAAAAAAATCAAATCATAAAAGCATATAATTACGTCAAATTGAATTTAGTCGAAGAAAGTAAGAATGTAACCTCGAATAATAGGATAGGAATTTGAATTTCCAGTAATTATAGCTAAATCACGAAAATTTGGTATTTATTTATCGAATACTATATTTTAAGTGGAAAGGCAGTACACCGAACATTCGTATAACAATAACGGAAGATCATAACTTGCAAAACGAGATCAACCTGCATATTTGAGTGGTTTCATTTTTTTTTTTTTTTTTCATTCCCCAAATGTGCTAGAAATTCTTCAAACTCTAGTAGACGTGTTTGGCTTGCCTTTAACGGCTTAATGTCTAGTGTTGTAGTTCTTAACGTTGTTAGGGGGTAAGACATCTGCTTAATATTCTATTGGGAGGAATGACGATTGAGGTATATTTTTCAAGCTTTATTCTTGATCGATCTCAACATCATCACAACCTCAACCATCCCTTTCGTTGGTTCTCCTCTTTGAGCTAGAGTGACAATTTTCTTCGACCATCTCCCAATCATAAGGTCTATTTTCCTTAGTTTTTTTATTGCTTCTTCAGTTGATCTCAATAACTATATTTTAAGTCCCAGTAATGAATCACGGGTACGAGGTTGGTTCTTACCGATTGATCAAACAGTCGTGTATCTTGAAGTCTAGCTGCTATTACAATCAAAGTGGTTGCATTTATGAAACTTTTAAACTACAAGACCTATTCGTTGAAACGTGAGACATACTCTTGAATTATCTATTGGGACCTGCTTGATTCACAATAAGTGAATTTGAAGATCGTGTAGGACTCTTCCTCTTAAGAACTGAATATGAATGCACGTGCTAATTTGTTGAAAGAACCGACGAAAAATTTTAATTTCCCCGATACAACAAATTTCCAATACCCATAATAACATTTTTTCATAAAATTAAAAAAAAAAAAACCCTTAAAATCTTCTAAAAATAGGGAAAAAAGTTGAAAAAAATTAAAACAACCAAATATGTTTTTTTCGTAGAGATTGAGGATTTAGTGTATTATTGTTTTTTTTTTTTTTTTTTTTCTCTTGTTATAAAAATAAAAGGAACAAACGTGAACCCACATGAGCATATGCAGGACACAAAGACAGCTAATGCTGAAGCTAATACGCACATTATGCCCACATGACACTCAATTTGACTAACTTTTTTTCTTCTTCAGACACGAAAAATCCCCCATAAGCTTCTTTTAGTAGCCATAATAATTTATTATTATTGGGTTAATCCCAATTTTTATACTTTATAAACAAGTATTAAATAAATAATTTTTTTGTTCACCTATAAACCTTTGATTTTTTGTTTTAATTTGATTAATAATTTAAATATATATGTATTTTTTAAGAAATATTAAATTAATGGTAGATAAATATTAAGAAAAAACACAATTTTAGAAAATAAAATAAAAGGATTATGAAACAAAAATTTAATTTAATTTAATTTTTTTAATATATAGTTTTATTATACAACTATATTTTCCTGTTTTGTTTGAAATATTTCTATAATCCGCTTCAAAGTACTAATAAAGAAAGTATATGAATAGTTTTTTTCTACTTTCAATTATTACCAAATTAGTTTCTGAATTTGTTAAAAATTCACTCAAACTTAGAATATTGATATTTACTTGTTTTAAAATTATATATATATATATTTTTTACATTATTCTTTTAAGGCTAACTATTACGAAGGTTAAACAAATAAAACTAAATTATTACTTAACACGATCATTACTAAATATCATTAATTTTCTTTAATAAATGTGAGATTTAAGATAACAAAACATTTTTTTATAAGAGTATAGAAACTTCTCAGTAGTAGACACGTTTTAAAACCTTAAAGAGAAATCTTTGAATAGAAAATTCAAATATAACAATATCTGTTAACGGTGATATATATATATATTAAAGAAAATAATAAAAAAACAAATCGACAACCCAAACCCAATTGAACCTAACTTATGTACACTCGGACTAGAAGCAAAACTATAAAAACGAATTGATCAAAAAGATTTTTTCCAATCTAATTTAACCTAACTCGTGTACTAGAGTGTAACCAAAAGCAAAACTAGACAAGCATGTCTAAAGAGATAATAATGTGTACAAATTGAGAGGGTTGGGTTGATTATTGCTACTCCTCAATTGATTTAATTTAGAGATAAAAGGGTAAAAAAGTAATGGTAAAAAAGTAATTATGGATAATGAGCAGTAAATAAGTTTAAAACAGGAGTTTGATTCCTAATCTTGTAACTAATGGACGTCCCAAATGATTAGCATGGCTTAATCTTCAAAGTGTTAGTACTAAAATTAGACTGCAAAACTTTTCCGGTGCTATTAATGGAATTTCTATAAAATTTAATATAATTCCTGGAAAACACGTGTCAGGTCTCAGAGAGCGAGTATGAGTATTTTCATACTCACCGGTGGAAGAACAGAGGTATTTGATCTTTCACACACTCGCCTGTCGTTCGCCTTTTCTCTCGCTCTCTGGTATTCCCATTCCTTCAATGTCCATAAATACGCTCAGCCTCTCAATTCTTCTCTCACAAGTCACAACCCATTTCCTTATTTTCTAATTTTGTGATCTTTTCTTCAAGCTTCTTCTCCTCTGTCTTCAAAGATTCTTGCAGGCACAACGCGGGATCTTCACTTTAGATTTGCAGAGTAGCAACAATGGCGTCCCAGAACAGAGTAGATCTGGACGGCAACCCGATTAAGCCGATCACCATTTGCATGATTGGCGCTGGTGGGTTCATTGGCTCTCACCTTTGTGAGAAGCTCATGGCTGAAACCCCTCACAAGGTGCTTGCTCTTGATGTTTACAATGACAAGATTAAGCACCTTCTTGAGCCCGATTCCCTACCCTGGGCCGATCGCATCCAGTTCCACCGTCTCAATATCAAGAACGATTCCAGGCTCGAGAGTCTCGTTCGAATGGCAGATCTGGTTCGACTCTTGTGATTCCTTCGCTTTTCAATATTCATTCTTCTTGAAGAATTGTTCATTTCTTGTTCTGTGTAGTTTGAAGAATTGGTTCTTCTTTGGGTTTATTGTTAGTTCTGTGCTAATGCTCGTTCTTGTTCTTGCGGGTTTTGTCATTAAATTTGTGTTTTATGAGATGTTTTGTGATTGGAATCTTTCTTTGCGTGATGCAGACGATAAATCTTGCTGCGATCTGTACACCGGCGGACTACAATACGCGACCACTTGATACCATTTACAGCAATTTCATCGACGCAATTCCTGTGGTGTGTACGCGATTTGTTCATCTTTTTCTTTCTTGATATTTTTACTTCTTAATTCAAAGGATTAGGTTATCGTTTGATTTGATTTTATGTGCTCTCTTTTCGAAGGTTAAATACTGTTCTGGCAACAACAAGCGTCTCATTCACTTTTCAACTTGCGAAGTCTATGGTAAGACAATTGGAAGCTTTCTTCCAAAAGATAGCCCTCTTCGTCAGGTAAGGCATCTCTTTCTACATTCTTTTTCCTCTTATTATAAATTGCATCAATTCATTTGATCTATATTCATTTTCCTTACTCTTTCGATGGAATTGCTATGAATATGTACTCTGGAGATTCAATAGGTGTGCCGTTTTGTTTCAATTTTCTCCCTCGTTTCGGAATTTTCTTTGAATCGCAATGGAAGATTTGCAGGATTTGACTTGAAATGAGAGTATAAACATGTTGCAGTAAGAAAAATCTATTAGATCTTTAAATTGAACCGTCATTGCCCCTTCACAAATGATTGAAAATTCTATACAACATATCTTGGTTTGCATGAGGATGTGGATTTCTGTATTCTTTGATCAACAGTTTGGTTGAAATGTAGATTACAACCGACATTCTAGTCGTTGAGTTTGCCATGAAACTAGTTTCCAGATTGAAATAATTCTCTGATTTGAAAATTACATGTTCATAGATGACAGCGATTTCTAATGCTACTTTTTCATCGCATCCTTACATGATAGCCTAATTGTCGAGAATGAGCTGAACCATTGTATTGTAATTTCTCTATGATAGGATCCGGCATATTATGTTTTGAGTGAGGATGCTTCTCCTTGCATCTTCGGTCCCATTGAGAAGCAAAGATGGTCGTATGCATGTGCGAAACAATTGATTGAGAGGCTGATTTATGGTTAGTTTTCTTGTGTACTCTGTTGCTTCATGGGAATCAATACTTGGAAACTGCAGTTCTTCTTAGCCTTTGTTCTTTCCCAGCTGAGGGTGCTGAAAATGGGATGGATTTTACAATTGTAAGACCATTCAACTGGATCGGACCAAGGATGGACTTCATTCCTGGCATTGATGGCCCAAGTGAGGGCGTTCCCAGGGTTCTAGCTTGCTTTAGCAATGTATGTTCTGTTAATTTGCTTCTTTGGCTTCCAGTTTGTTTCAGACTCATGACTGTGTTTCCTTTTATGATATTATGTAGAATCTCCTTCGACACGAGCCACTGAAGCTTGTGGATGGCGGTCAATCCCAAAGAACATTCATATACATTAAGGATGCCATTGAAGCTGTTCTTTTGATGATTGTATGACTTGCTTACCTTCTGTTTTTCTTTCTTCTTCAACCTAAAGTTTGAAGCAGACATATCTGAATTGTTGTGTATTTTTGTTCAGGAAAACCCAGCGAGGGCCAATGGCCATATCTTCAATGTGGGCAACCCCAACAATGAAGTAACAGTGAAGCAGCTTGCTGAAATGATGACCAAGGTGGCAAATCGTGTCTGCTTTTAAAATTTCTATTATTATTATTATTTGCTATTGTTGGATGAAGAAAGTTTAAGTTGCTTGCTTTTGCACTCGTGCAGGTTTATGCAAAGGTAAGCGGGGAACCTTCGCTTGAGACCCCGACAATCGATATAAGCTCTGAAGAATTCTATGGCGTGGGCTATGACGACAGTGATAAGAGAATTCCTGACATGACCATCATCAACAAGCAACTCGGTATGATGCACATCTCGTTTCGTATTTTCCTTCCATCTCTGAATAGCGATCTTAATAAACTTGCACAAATATTTAACGTATTTTCCTTCAGGTTGGAATCCGAAGACATCGCTCTGGGACCTGCTGGAATCGACTTTGACCTACCAACATCGAACATACGCAGAGGCAGTGAAGCAGGCAACATCAAAACCAGCTGCATCTAGCTAGGTAGAGAGAGTGATGATGATGCTCTTACAGTGGAGTTTTATTTGTATTCTTTTCTGAGATTATAAGTATATGTTGATGGATGAGAATCCCACATTGGTAACATTTTTTTTTTGTTCTTGATTTTGAAATGTGTTAGTTGTGGTGGGGATAGGCGAAGAATGTGTAGTAGTAGCAGTGTACGCCCTGTCGGGGGGAAGACTCGGTGATATATGTAAAATGATTGAATTTCAAGCTTGGACTACTATAAGTCCAAGGGAGAATACAAGTAAAATCTACTACGTTTCTGTCTTTTACTTTCCCTTCTTTGCCATTGCATTTCTGGACACGTCTTAATATTATTAATCAATCAATAATTCTTAAATTATTCTAATTTAATAAAACTAATAAATGTATTCACGAGAAAAATAATTCTTAAATATATATGTATTCACGAGTATCAAATAGTCTTACTTCATTGCAAAATGATCATTAATTAAGATAAAATTACACTTAAACCCCTCATGTCATCAACCGAAGTTGCTTTGGCGGAGTGGTTAAGGCGTGTGCTACTAGTACATGGAATTCGAATGATTTTTCATTTAAAATTAATTAAATATTAAATTATCCATGTTAATTGTCAATTGAAGTTGCTTTGGTCTGAGTGGTTAAGGTGTGCTAAGTATATGGGTTTCCCTGCAAGAGATTCACGTACAACGTCTATTTTATATTTTTTCCTTAATTAAAAATAAGTACTGTCCATGCTAATTGTCAACTGAAGTCGCTTTGGCCGAGTGGTTAAGGCGTGTGCCTGCTAAGTACATGGGGTTTCCCCGCGAGAGTTCGAATCTCTCAGGCGACGTTTCTCTTCTATATTTTTTCCTTTGATTTTTCATTTTTATTTATTTTCTCAAAATATTTTCTTCTCTCTGTATCATTTCCGCCGATTCCTTGTTACTGTTTTTTGCTTCTCCTCCAAACACAATTTAGGTTTTTGGTTTCTGATCGTTTTTCTTCCACATTCTTCAAGTCGTCAACCATTTATTTCTAGGGCCTGCCGTTCTTGCAAAGATAGCTGCCATTAATATGTCAGTAACCTCGCCCTGCTTCAATCTCATCCATTCCGCCGTTGCTTCCTCCCCAGATGCCTTTCCTTCGAAACTCGAAGTTAGAGCTTCGGGATGCTTTACATGGCCTTGTTCTGAATCTAGGAGCTCCTTTAAGGTTGTTTCTCTTCATTATTCATCTAATGTGAGCTGCCGGATTCCACTTAAGTGTTTTTCGTCCGAGGCGGCGGCTGAGACCATCGCGGCGGCGAAGGACTCTAAGGTCTTTGATACTGATTTTGAATCTCGAATAGGTGGGGATGGTGGTTTTGGAGGAGATGGAAATGGTTTTGGTGGCAACGGCGGCGGCGGTGGCGGCGGCGATGGAAATGGTGATGGTGAGGAGGAGAGGGAGTTTGGACGGATATTGAAATTCGACGACGTGATCAAGGAGGCTGACGCTCGAGGAGTTAGACTTCCTGAGGATATGCTCGAGGCTGCTAAGGCAACCGGGATACGGGAAGTTTTTCTTCAGCGTTACTTGGACTTGCAGGTACAATCCATTTCTCAAGTTCGTGAAAGTAAATGAATCGAAAGCATCATGCGTAGCACTTGAAACTGTTGCATGCCTGTCGCTCTTGTGCTTGCTGTTTTAACAACTCCTTGCAGGATTACCTTATTTGTTTCACTGTTCTTTTGGGTGAAATTCAACAAAGAAATTGTTATCAGCTGTAAATTCAGCAACCTCAAGAGATCTTGTTGATTTGTGGGACATGAAGTACGTTTTTGAGAATGAAACTGTGTGAATATGTGGAACCTTTCTCATATGATTGAACAAACCATTAGTTTCACTGCCCTGTCACCATGATTCTCCTTTAAATCTCTCATTTTTCCCTCATGTATATATCAGTTAGAATCCTTCTCCCCTCTGTCCTTTCGAAATTGGTGGTGTATGATTGGTTTTTGCTTGAGCATAAAGATGATTTTTTTTCTTCTTATTTTGAAAACAAATATGTATCAAAATAATGAAGGAAATTTTCTTTTGGTGTTTTACAGGGGTCAGGTTGGTTGTTAGGCTTCTTGATGAATTCCTGCTCCATGTTTCGTGACCGAATGCTAGCAGATCCTTCTTTTCTTTTTAAAGTCGGAACAGAGGTTTGTTTTGGTGTTATTAAAATTCAATGCAAGCTAATGATCCACAACTCTCGCTGTAGTTTTGCATTGTTAGCAATGAGTTAATTTTCTCCTATAGTTGCTAATTGTTGGCATTTATAGCAGCGAGAGAAATCACATTGTTGGCATTTAAATTCAGGATTTGAGGCCCTTGATTATATGTTCTAACCGATACCATACCTTGGCAGTTCTCTTTGATCAATTCAGATGACTTGTTGATTAATTGTAAAATACAATTCCCAATTAATGGATCTAATGAGCTTTGCTGATGCAGGTGGTCATAGATTCATGCTGTGCTACATTTGCTGAAGTTCAGAAAAGGGGAGAGAATTTCTGGGCAGAGTTTGAGTTATTTGCTGCTGATCTTTTGGTTGGTGTTGTGGTTGACATTGCTTTGGTTGGTATGTTAGCACCATATGCTCGTATAGGACAGCGGCCTGTATCAAGAGGTTTATTAGGACAAATGCAGCGTGCTTATTCTTCTCTTCCTAGCAGGTTAATATCACATGACGCGTTTTATGATGAAATTTTCAGTACCCTTATAAGTTCCAGACTTGTAGTTCCCTGTGTTACCTTATTTTATATTTTATTTAGTTCTTGCTGCTGTATGCTTGACAAAGTTTCTTGAGCCACTACTTTGTTTAGTATATATTTTTTTCTTTTGAAGATGAGATGATGTTCTCTAAACATTGGACGGAATCAGTCTCTCCTAGATTTGGCCTCAATTTGCTGACCATTCTCAATTTTCTTTGAATTTAGAATTTCCACGCTCCATCTTGACTTCTATAATTAATTACCCTTTTTTTTGCCTCTGCAGTGTTTTTGAAGCTGAAAGGCCCGGGTGTAAATTCACAGTGAAGCAGCGAATTGCATCATTTTTCTATAAGGTACTGATTTCATTTTTTTAAAGCAATTGAAGTTACTTTCTCATCCTTGTTTCTTTATCTTGTTTTGGAACTTAGTTTTCGAGGTATGGCTTTGTTTTTCTTGTTACTGCTATATCTCTTCGGGGGTTTGATTTAACTTATAATCATTGGTGCATTTTTGTCCAGGGTGTCTTGTATGGCTCAGTGGGATTTGGATGTGGTCTCATTGGCCAGGGGATTGCTAATTTGATCATGAACACAAAACGGTAAGCTTGTTTAAATATGTCTTGCATGCCTTGTTTTCTACTATTATTAGACTACCCTATATTTTTAAATTGGTCATGTAGTTGTTTACCTTAAAGAAGTTCACCTGTTGGTGTTGATCAACTCATGAACTTTGATTTGTTCTTCGACTGATGTGTGTTTTTAGAACAGATGTGCCATTGCCACAATCCATTTCTGATGATTGATTATAGACCGATTGATGTAGGACACACTAAATAATTACAGTTGACCGAGGAGTTGAATATGACTTAGTTCTAAAATGATAGTAAAATATACAAGTACTGAATGTGGGACTCCCAAAATCTTGTGTCTGCTTTGAATGGTCATAAAAAGTTGTGTTTTATGATAGGCATAAGATTCCAATTTTTTGTATGGCTTTAATCATTAATTTTATAATTTCTCGGATATAACTGTTAGCTATAGAAAAAAGAACAGAAAAGAAAAGAATATAAAGATATAGCTGATGCTTTTTGCTTTGTATTTATTTCTAGTTTGTCGAATTGTATTTTTTATCATTCTTTATTTGTCCCTTGAATCTTTTCGAAAATGACATGTTGTCTGATTGCATGTGTTGTATATTTGCCTTAAAGAACCTTGAATCTATCATGTCATCTGTTCCCTCCAAGTTGTTGAAGACCTATTTCAATGTTTGAAATACTTGATTATGAATTATGATAACCGTAGAAAGTTAAAATATCTTTTTAATTATACATTAGACTAACATTATATCTCTGTCTTGATATTTATCTTGGGAACTGTATTTAATGATTTAGGTGTATAAAGAAATCAGATGAGGATGTGCCTGTGCCTCCTCTCATTCAGAGTGCCGTTCTCTGGGGTATACATCTTATCTGTTCCTTGAATCCTCACTATTTTACTTTACTAATCTGTTTTGTCTTAATATAAGTAGGTTCACGTTCTTCTGAATTAATCTGAATCAATTTAGCTTAATACATCATCAATAATATTTTCTTAGGTTAAACTAAATTGTGATTCCTAGTCCGTAGTTTGGTGCAAGTCACTCATTTCTTAGGATCATACTGACTGGCCCTCCCATTTACTTTTATTAAACAATAAGTTTTGGTCAAGTTTCAACCTGGAGCCGATATCAAATTCTTGCTGGAAAGCTTAACCAAAAGCCCCCTTAGTTTTATCAGTCTATTCTGTTCTGTTCTATCCTCATGTCAACTACAACCTGCTGACTACTTTTATATATGTTAATTTAGTAACTCTAAAGCTTCTATTTTCCCTGATTCAGGTGTTTTCCTTGCGGTATCTTCCAACACTCGTTATCAAATTGTGAACGCACTCGAGCAGGTGGTCGAATTCTCGCCTTTGGCAAAGAAGATTCCACCGGTGGCAATGGCCTTCACAGTTGGTGTGAGGTTTGCCAACAACATTTATGGTGGTATGCAGTTTGTGGATTGGGCCAGATGGAGTGGTGTTCAATAAATTTAACATGCTGCATTAACTTGCCTTAAATCTTTTTTTCTTTTTTTTTTTTATAAAAAAAACCTTAGTTTGGCTTCCCATAAGAGTTTTTATATTTTAATCTGTAAGCTTTAGGTTAGGAATCTTTAAAAAAAAAATAATAATAATAAAAAAAAATAATAAAATAAAAAACCCATAGTGTTGCTCCCTACAAGAAGTATTGTATCGTAATCTGTATGCTTCAGGTTTAGGCAGCCGATCTCTTATACTCCTGGGGTTGGGCTGGGTGGGCTTATAGCGAATAGGATGTCGATTTTTCGTATGAGTATCATTTTGGTAGTGGTTTGAAGTTTGTTGGATCAAGGTTTTATTTATGGGATATATAACTTAAACTTGTGTAGATCCTTGAAATAAATCATGACTTGGATATCCATGTTCTTCAATGCGATTATTAGGGAATTTGCATGAGAAAATTGTTTCAATTTGAAACGATGGCTGTATCTGAGTGGCTTGAGAATTCGTCTGCCATCGCCATAAACCATAACTCACCGGCGGACAGGCCCCACCCATTAAGCAGGATCTGATCGTTATTGCAATGATTAGTTTCGACCTGCAACAGTGCGGATGGACAAAAAGAGGGGAACCAGCAAATCATTGCTGGATATTTTAAAATCGCCTCGCGGTGCCGCCTCCCTCTTCCCTTTCCGGCCTGTAATTGATACTCCAATTGCTTGAGTTGAGGATGTAGCGCCTTTCCAATTGGCACATTATAAAAGTCTATACCTACTATTTTTTTGTTTTTTCATGTCAATTAGAGAAATATTTTCATATCCTAGTAAGAAACGCTTCGTTCCTCTTTTCAACCGATGTAGGATTGCTTATCGGTGATAGCTTAATTTGTTATATTTGCAGCTCGAAGAGTGAGAAATGGGTAGAGGATAGAAAAAGAAGCCATGCAAATGTCTTATATTGTTAACTTTTTATGTTGATGGGGTACAAAAGCTATAGCGTTAACGTGTAAATTGTAAATATTTATTTACTCCATAAACGTCAACATCAAATTAATAAGTCATTTTTGTTAACTCGGGTTGAATGGATGATATTTGAAAAACATTAATGTATATATTATAGATAAATCCTTTCAACTGGCCTTCATGTTTTTATCGTCATTCTTTTTGTGAAACGTTACTTTTCATTCAATAATTAATTGTGAGGGGCGTGATAAAACTTTAACATTTTCAATTCAAGTTAATGATAAGATTAGATGTATTTTTATTTTTATTTTTTCAAATTTAGATGTTTTATTGAAATAAATCTTTAATATATATATATATATATATATATTTATATATAAGTGGACGATAACAAAATATTTGAATATTTTTTAAAATAAAAAAATTTACGAAAATTATTGAAACAAAACATGTTATTTATTTTAGAAGGTATTTTCTATAATATAGTAATTTCTTATACATACAGGTTTAACAAAACTGTAGCGAGAAGGAACTGAAGAAAGTGTTAAAAATGGAGCAAATAATAAAATAAATAAAAAACAAATTGACGGGGGATCATTTCTGGTTGAAATTTCAGGCTTTGATGGAGGTAAAATAAAAGTCGTCTCTGCTGCCCGCCACTTCCCGTCGACCGCTTTGCCAATTTTCCTCACTCCATCAATCTCTCGATTTTCCTCTTCATTAATACATTTCTCGCTGTTCGTTCTCGATCAAACCGCCGATATTTGAATTGCTTCTCCGTTGTATTGTCTCGATTTTTGAATTGGAGTTCGTCTTCTTTCCAGTAGCTCTGCTGCTTGGTTCCGTCAGATCCGCTGGTGGAGCGCGGGGATCTAGGATAGGGAGCTGAAGAGATTGTGTGTTTCCAGCTGGATCTGAGCGGAGATGGCGTTGTCCGGTATGAGAGGTCTCTCCGTTTTCATTAGCGACATACGTAATTGCCAGAATAAAGAGCAGGAGAGGCTCCGAGTCGACAAGGAGCTTGGAAATGTCCGCACGAGGTTTAAGAACGAGAAGGTTAGGGCTGACCTTTACTTGCATTAATGATTGTAATTTTGGCCTTCTGTTCCCTATTTTGCGAGTGCTTGCAGTTTTGTTCATAAAAACTGTGGAAATCACGCGATTACCTAATTTTCGGCTTGGTGTTGCGTTTAAATTGTTTCAAGAGAAAATGTAGATATCGAATACATGACGTGATGACCTGTTTGAAAATGTAGATATCGAATACATGTCGTGCTTGCAGTTTTTTTTTTTTTTTTTTTTTTTTTTT